TTCATCCCACTAGGTTTCCGACTCATACCCATGAACAGATACACTATAAAGAGAAAATATACTGACAACCATTCACACAAATACCACGTGTCCCATATGGCCAACGTCATAACTTCCAAGCGTTATCGAAATGCAGTTTTCTCTCACCGGTGTAGAATCGTGGGGCACGTAATACGCAGTAGAGCTATTGCTTATAATCTAATGAGTTTTCGAAAAAAAATCAACTTTTTTGAATTTTTATATGGGATACATTTTTTCTCATTAGCATTGGATTGGAATACAAAGGAATACAAAGATATATCATTTGTTAATGTTTTGAGAATAATTTGAGTAAACACTTATAATTTATTGCCTGTGATTTTAAGTTAAATGGACAAAATTTGCTGTCGTAACCCTTAGACCTGTCTCCTTGGGCAAAGGTGTTAAGGTTTTGAAATATTGTTTAGATAAATAGGGAAGAGCATTAGCAGCAAATGCAATGAATATCGCCCTTTTCTATCGAAAGTTCTCATCAGTCGAGTGTTATGAAAAAGAAACGATTCATAATTAACAAAGATTGTTACTTTGCAGAAAGAATCAATGAGTATTGAAGAGATTGTCATGGTTACCTCTGTCCAGGCGAAATTAAACGTTTTCGTTACGAATTTCACATTTTACTGCACGTTAGACTGCAGAAAGGTGCCGGTAATTGCCTGGCAACGCCCCAAATCGAACGTTGAATGCGCCCAACACATTTCACTTAGCTTCTGTGAACGACGGCCACGAAACTGCTCGCGACTCCTCTGCCTTTCATGACATTGCGAGCCCGCTGCGTCTAAAATAGAGCTGGAATTCGAGAAATCTGTCAATGGGCACTTATTTCGACGAGGCCGCCCAGGAGCTGATGCGATCTTTTGGTCACGCTCCGAACAGGAAACGACGTCAAAGAACTTTGTACGAAAGTAATGAGTATTTGATCAACTGGGAAGGAATTTGCCCGACTTCTTTTGAGCCAAATTAGACTCGAGATCTCCTGAGCGGGAAGTTTAAAATATATGTCCTTTTCTTCTGAAATGCCTTCAAAGAGCCGCGAAACTGAACTGTTTGAAGCGTGGCGCTAAATTTGAACTAATTTGGCGTTCAATGCGCCAACAGGTGGCCTTTGCGTCGTCGAAACTACTACGCAGACGGAACGAAGTTCAATGAGAGTTGCGGCCCGTCCGGATGCTATCATTCACTACCCTGAACGCTCTGTATTTAATACAGAGTGATAACCAGAAATGTTATTTTTCCTATGAAAGAATTTTGCATCAAAAACCGGTTAACAGATTAAATATAATGGTCCGATTGCCTCCCCTTCCTTTCGCATCTGGCAAAATGAGGTCTCAAGAAAACACGTGCATTATGCAAATGTATCTTAACCATCAGACCACTCCTGGACTTTGACCTGAATTCTGCCTGGAATTGGATCACACCATATAAAACAGCAGCAGGCGTCGATCAAAAGTCGCATTTCATAAATTTAGAAAGTAACTTGTTTGACTTTGAGCAGATCAATGAGCGACTAGCTTGTTTGCAAGTGAAATGATGTTCTAACAATAGCAATGTACCATGTTAGGAATTTATTTCCAAAATTTCCTTTAAATTCATAATGCCAGGAATATTTTAGGTTTTAACCACATCATCTATTTTGGGCATCATGGATTTGTACAGGCGGAGTAAGAAGTCTTTACCTGCTCCCCAATTTATATGGGAAATGCATCTTATTACGTTCAGAGCTGTTTTGCATATACGCAAGGTATATTCTAGATGCTGTTTCCATGTTAAATGCCTATCAAAAATTAAACCAAGAAATTTTGCCGTTTCATTGTATGTCAGTTGAACTCCATTCAGCGCCAGCTCTGGATCTCTGTAACTTTTTCGTTTCCTACAGAAGTGAACTCATTTTGTTTTGGCTGCTGTAAATTAGAAACCAATGTTTTTCGCATTCTGTACAAATTTATTGATGGCATTTTGCATTTTGAACTTGATCATTCACGGTGATTTGGCTGAGTAAAACATAGCAATGTCATCTACACATATGCATTTTCCAGTTGACGCTTCTATGCCGTCAAACATCCCGTTAATCGCTATGATAAAGAGCGTGCCACTCAATGGAGAGCCTTGCGGTACACCGTTCTCTAGTACGTGGCTTTCTGAGATGGACTACCCAACGCGAACTTGGAAAGATCTAGTACTAAGGCAGCTGGATATAAATTTTGGTAGATTTACTCTTATTTGCCAGTTATATAGCTGTCTCAGAATATTATATCGCCAGGTCTTATCAAAAGCGTTTTCCAGGACTAAGAATGCGGTAACCATATGTTTTCTTGCTGATGATCCTTGCCAGGTTTAGGAATCATGGACACACGGACTGTTTTTCAGAGGGAGGGGAAGTAAGACAGTTTGAAACACGTTGAGGATACGGGTGTAAGATGGTCTATAGCATTCTTGGGAAGATTACGGAGTTGAGTGGGGAGAACACCATCGGGTCAGGGGGCTTTTAATTGATTTGTCATTGCCAGTAGTTGGGTAATTTCCGTATCGTTTGTCGTTTGCTGATTGCCGAGTAGGGTTGGGATTCTCGAGGCGTTGAGAAGCACATTTTGGGGAATTGGGATATTTGGGGGGCGAAAACGGACGGGCAGGTTTTGGGCGAAGGTGTCTGCAATTATTCGGGGGTCAAAGGGTAGGGAGTATCGGTTGGTGTAAAGGGGGAAATTCGGGTTGGGGTATCTCGTACTGCCTTAATTACTGTGTGGTTGTTATTGGGGCTGCTCTTGTCATTAAGTAAATCGTTGTATTTGTTCGTTTCAAAATTCTGTAGAAGTGAGTGAACATGTCTTTTTATTTTAAAAGTTTTTTGTCCTCGTCTCGCCTGTTTGTAGAATCGTCGTTGTATTTGTCTCTGCAGTCTGATTCGTCGGGGAGGGGAGGGTGTAGTTGCTGGGTATGGGTGGTTGTTCGTTGGTAGGTGCGAAGGATGTGGTGGTTCAGGTGCTCACTGGATTTATCTATGGAAGGTATTGTTTGGAGGTTGGCTGAGACATGTATCTTTTTGGTCAGGATATATGTAGGTAGTTGTGGATGAGGTGAATATTATTGGGAAGTGGTCGGAAAAGTCATGGAAGTTATATTTGCGATTGGGTGTGGTCATATGTAGTTGGGAGGAGTGTAGGACGAAGTCGAGGATATCGTGAGGGTTTCCGTTAACTATGTGTGGGTTCAGGGGGACATTTGATTGGGGGTTGTCTTCAAGTCTCAGTCCAGCTACATTACTAGTCGAGTAGACCCATCCGGTGAATTAGAGTTGACGTCGGCTGCAAGAATAAAGGGATGGGGTAGATTGTTAAGGATATTCACGTCAAGAGGTAGGACACGAGGAATGGGGTCTGTTGTTGGCTGACATGATTATTAGAGAGGTGGGGGATCCAAGAAGGCACTACATTCTAGGGCTGTGAATTGAGGAAGTTGGTAAGGAGTGTGTGGAAGGGATTGTCAGATGAAGGTGGCCATCCCGCCTCCGGGGGTAAAGGTTCTGTCATTTCGGTATGCAAGGTAGTTTTGGATGGTGAAGGAGGGTTGTGGGTAGGTATCAGCATAGCCTCTTGAAGTAATAGGATCCCATCTTTTAGGAACTGGGTGAGGATTGGTTTTTTCTGGGCTAAGCCGCCACGTGGATTTCACGAGGAAAAGGATAGGATTCGAATTTGGGGGAGCCATTCATTTACTATTTCGACAAGTTTAATGCCTGCGGTTATTAATTTTGTGAGGATGTCTTCTGGGCAATTCAGAATGTTGATGAAGGTTCTTAGGTGAGGAAGGAGTTTTTTGAGGGTAGGTGATTGGAGAAGTGAGAAGAGGTCTTTTATATCTTGGGTGGTTGTAGGTTGTGGGTTAGAGGCAGAGTAGGATTTATTTTGTTGACTGAGGGATGGGAAAGACTTGTGACATGTCGGAAGGGGGTGATTGAGTAGAGGTTTTTGGTTGTTCACTGGTTTCTTTAGCTTTGGTAAGGTACGGACAGATTGGGTCGTATGCTGGGTAGTTACGGTTGCAGTGGAAGCACGTGGAAGTAGGAGTGCATTGCTTGTGTAGTTTAAAGGGCATTCTTCTGTGGATTGGAATTTTGCACTATTTTGCGCAAGTCACTGGTCGTCGACAGTATGTCCTTGTGTGGTACAGTTTTTGGCAAAGTTTGCATTGGAGAATCGGTTTGGTTCTGTAATTTTTGATTCGTCCTATAGTAGTCTATGTAAATCAGTTTGTTTTTGGTGTCAGCCATGTTCTTTTTTGTAGTCTCAATTACGCAATCGAAGTGGGCCAAGGTGTCCGTTAACGTCGCGTCGGTTCATTTCAGTAACGTGGAAACGGGATTTTCAAGTCCTAGAGGTTTGTCCTAATTCTCTCGAGGTCGTCGTTAGGGGGGAGTCCTTTTAGAACAAATTTCTTCCTGATCTCTTCCGTCGCTCTATTGTGTGAGTATGAAATATTAACAAAGTATAAATCCTTGAGGTCTGTCGTAGAGATCTAGTAGGCCCCAAATTTTGTTGTAGGCAGTCATAGTAAGTCAGATGTGTCCTGTTGCTTTTGGCAGTCATTGCGTTGTGTCTGTGTTTCAATAAGTCTTTGGTCAGGTTTGAGGTGTTGAGGAGGGAGTTGAGGTCTATTCGGAAAGGTCTAATTTTGCTTTTCGTCGGTGGGGTTTTTAGTTTGAGAAATTTCTTCTTCGGTTGCGAGTGAGTTTGGATTTTCTGAAGTCTTGTTATTGTCGTCTGTGGTGACGGAGGTACTAGCTTGGGAGTTAGGATTGGGTTTGGGGTGGGGGATCAGTCCTGAAGGGTTAGGTGACCAGCTGGAAACCATCTTCGGCCATTAGTCTTTTTTGAGTTCCTGTCAGGGGAGGGCTCGTGAGATCGTCGTGCGGTTGAGGTGCCAGTTTTAGCGGGAGAACGCGCATTAGCGGTTGTCTGTTGTGTTACCGTCTTTGGTGATGCGTCTTCATCGACAGTCAGTTTGGTGCTGTCGTCGTCGCTGGATTCCACGTCCATAGATTTGTCCAATGTTGTAGCCTTGCCGTTGTCATTAGAGTCCGTGTCGGGCAGCGGCCGAAGACGCGCCTCTTCCCGGAAGCGCCGGTTGTTCTCCGCAAGCGCTCGCCGGAACAACTGGCGAGAGACCAAGGACAGGTCAACCGTTATGTGTGGCGGGTTGCAGCTATGTGCCGTGCTATCTCCAACACCACGTCAGCTGGCTCGTAGTCGGATGTGCGTTTCTTGATGGTTGGGCCGCTTTGTAGCTAAAACAGAATACACGAGAGTCACGATCGAAGTCAGTGGGGTTGATCCTCACTGCACGGGTGCTGCTCGATCAATCAATAGGGGAGACCGTTTAATTAGTACCATGCATGCCTATCAAAACTTCTCCGTCTTCTTCGCTGGCGTTCTGCATCTTTCTTTCTTTTAACTTGTTTTTCTTCATTTTTCTCTTTTTGTATTATTTCTAATTTTTTCTTCTCTAAATATTATTTCCATTTTTATCGTCTTCTTTAGACTTTGTTTCTATACAAAGCTACTCGTCCTGCGGACGTTTTAGCCATATTCTGGAAGGATAAAATAATTATAATACCCTAATGCATAAGCGTACGTGAACAGCTCTCAATAATAACCTCACATTTTATCACTTCCATGAATATATTTTCTGTCTGTAATTAATCACGGTCGTAACACCTTTCTTCAAGACAGTGAAGAAATATACAACAAAAATAATATTATCAATTATTGAAGTGCGTAATTAGATGATTGGGAACTTTGGCGTTGTATTCTCAAATACATAAAATGCAAAATAAAAAAGGTTCGAATTTCGTTACAGGCGTAACACCTGCAAATACTTTTAGCAATGGTACGATTTATTAACTAAAAGGTTTTTGAAGACGTACTTATGGGTATTTCAATGAGAACAAACAGTTGATTACCGCCAAACAATAATAATCACTGGATGCCTAGAAGGCAGCAAAAGACAAGCGCGAGCAAGCGCATATAATACTCTCTGAGTGCGACCTGGTAGCAAATATTCGTACTATTTGTGCACGACACGGCCTTCTATGTATTTTCCTTTCCCATCACCGAATACGAAGCAAAGTTGAAGTAAACGATGCATCACACAAAACTAGGACGAATACTTTACCTCTATCATCGCAAAGTGATATTTAAATATTCACCATTGCGTCCTCTTTGAGTTGGAATTACCCAATTACAAAATTGAAGATAGAAAAACAATTTTTCTCAAAAGCGGCTCTATCCTTTTTATGAAATTTTGTAGGCGGATAGTCTGAAGGACGTTTTATAAGGATGATATAGATGTCATGTTGGTTTAAAACCCTAATGTTTCAAAAATTTTAAAAAAATCAAAATTTCTTTGGCGTATTTTTACAACTACAAATACGAAGATTTTTACTTTACCGTATACGTACGGAGTAATACACGAAGTATGGGGAAAGTTATGTTATATTGCGAAAAATTGATTTCGTAATTTCAACGAAAATATACGTTTTGGAGTCCCCTGATACCGAAATAGTTTGCTTCTCTCGCCCCTTCTGGTCATTTCCGTTCCTTCCTCTCCGCACTGCCTATCCTATCAGTTCCACCTGCTTCTTCCGCCCTATTCGCTTCGCTCATTCCCTCCGCTTAGACTATTTTATCGCTCGGGCTCCTTCCATTTCATCTGCACTTTTTTTCAAAACGTCCGACTGGTGTCTGTGAAAACTACTACCGCCCAAACTATGCGTAGGATTTTTTCCAAATTGAAAAAACTCCTGTCTATCTGGCTCGAATCTTTGGATTTTGAAAAATAGATCCGTCTGAACAATTTTCAAATTTTACTCAAAAGCAGCTCCAAATTTTTTCTTGACATTTCTTGTAAGAGTAGAGTTACATACATTTATAAAATAGGCATAGGTCCGATTTTTAGGATTGACTCTATTTCTCAATTTGTTTCAATTTTCGAAAATTTCAAAAATATGAATTATTTTCGGTGTCTTCCTATAACTACAAAATTAAAGATAAAGATTTTTCCTTCAAATAAAATTCGTTCTCCATAGACAGTTCTTTCATTTACTTCCTGAACATTTTTTGAAAATTTTAGTAGTTTTCGCGCAATACTGCGTGCTGTATATGCAATATTAAAAAATTACAAAAACAAGATTTTCTCAAAAACGGCTCCAATTTTTTTCTTTAAACGTTTAGTACGAATAGTACTAAATGTATTATGTAAGATGACATAAACGTTTCTGTGACGTGACATAATTCTTTTGTTTTCCAAAAATTACAAAAATGTAATGTTTTGACTTGTCTCTCGTGTCGTTAATATTTATACTAGCGGCAATTTGTTCACATTATTGTATTTATGAGTACTAAATAATGACAGATGAATTTTTTCAAACACTCAACCGTTTCTTGAGAAAACTACCTCAACATTCCGTATTTTCGGAAACGCACAAACCCCATTTTCTCTAACGGCACAGTATTTTTTCTTCCGAGTTGTACTCTTTAATATGACATAAATTTCATTTCGGTGCATTTTTTCCCAAAAATTACACAAACTAATTTTTTTTTTTTTATCTCTCGCGCCGTTATATACCATTAAATAGCTGGTCCCTAAAAGACATCTTCATATTGAATTTTTTAAAAAAACGTACATTAACCGAATGCATTCTTCAAAAACTTTTTTAAAAAACATATGCCCGCGAAAGTTTTTTCACAAGAGCCATAAGAATTTGAACTTCTTTTATTAAAACATTAGGCCAGAAAGGGCCAAATTGTTTTTACCCACTTATCAACTGTGTATGATGTGCTATGACACACAGACAAAATGTAATCTAAATATAGATAGAAATAAGCATTTTTGCAAAGAAATGTTAATATTCGCCAAGTGAAGGCACATAGTTTTGGCAACACAGCGCTGGCAACAGTGCGTTGCTCTTTTCTGTATAATTTGCTGCGAATACTGTATCAGTCAAACGTATTCCTGTTTGTTTCATCAAAGTAAGAAATGATTGCTGCTCCTGACTATCAAAATGAATGTAGATATACATCACAGGCGCATTGTGTTTGAATTGGTCGTTTTCAAGTATTGACTGAGGTGTTAGAAGCGCAGAAAATGCAATACTTCAATATTACGTAGCTGTTTACAATAACGCGAAAAAGTATGTGCCGTTGTAACACCACTGGTTTTCAATCAGGGGGGCAAAATGACAAATAACAGGTAGGACTGAGCAAATTATGTGTTTTACAGTGAAATGTGTACACTTGCAATAGGGATGCAACTCATTTTTTAATAATCAAAAGAACAATAATTGTAATAGTTCATCAGCTGAAAGAATGTATTGAATGTAAACATAACAGAGTGTATTCCTGCAATGAAGTCCATGGTCTAGTGCTACACTGTCATCCAATCTGTCGTCAACATCACTCTGTCACTGCTAGCTATTAGTCACATGTTTCCTAATAAACTTCAATAAATCAGAATGTGAAGCATACACAGGAAAAACAGAGACATGCTTAAAAATTTAGTGGTCGACATTGTAGTTTCCAAATGTATAATGTTGAATCCTATTAAACGTATTGTGAATACAATATAAAATGAATAAAAAATAAAAGTTATTGACCGCCTTCCATATTACTAAGATTTTTCACCATTCCATAAAAATGAAACAGAAATCTGTCATTAATATAATACTAAATTTATATTCTATTTACATGAAAAGACAGGTATTTGATTCTATAAATATTGGAAGTTAAGAGGTTCACCATGCAGAATGAACTGAACAAAAAATAACAAGTTCTCTTACTATTGGCATCTATGACTTATTGGCTCTCCCCATGAATATTTTATGATCCCAGATGTTGACTGTGACGGAAATATTATGTTCAGCCATGGCACTTACGTGAAAAATGCAATACATGGAATTTGCTCAATTTTTCTTCTAACTTAAAGCAAATAACCTTTACATTGCAATGCAAAAGTCACAAATTATTTCAGCATTACTCTAGGAGTTTCATAATACAAACACACTTATTGCACGGTCTGCATTACACTGAAACAACTTTCCTGGTTGGTATTGCATCTGCATTCCCATTCACATTTGAAATAATTTAACATTTACATTACACATTGACTTTCCGCTGTATACTCCAGGCCAATACTTACTACCCAAGTAATACTTCATTACTAATGTACTTCAAAAGGATATTTTATATGCTAATTGTAAATTTAGAAAGATATTCCTAATATTTTACTAATATTTTTTGTCCTTTCTGCTATTAGCAAATGACTAAGCCTTATCGAGTAATTGAAAATAGTAATGTCTGAAATATTACAAGGGGATTTGAACTCCATGTCAAACTGATCCATAATAAAGGAAAGGTGTGTAAATGTTAACAAATTCAAGTTTTTATAGAACACGAGAATATATATTTCTTTCTCTTTATCAAACATCAATCTCACTAGAGTATTGATAAAAGATCCAGATGTTATTTAATTTAAATACTGCTGATTTTGTTAACAAAGGTTTCCAAATGTTTGCATTTGTAGACCTTAATTATACTATCACTGTATTTCCCACTTTAGTTATTTTATATGAACATAATTTTGATAAAACCCTTAATACACAAATCAACTTCTTGGAGCTCTCATTAAACTGCAAATAAATACATATTAAGTGAATTGAAAACATACAGGATAATTTCTTTTTCTAATGTAATGTTTACATTATATTTAGAAAATCCTCCTTAAAACATATTTACAAGTAAATCACACCATTAATCAGTCTAAGCATTTTGGAATCTTTTAGAACTTGTGACACATGTATCTTGAAAAACATTATTAACATGTATTGCATAACATTTTTTGTATTATTTGTATGTTCACAACTCACTGTGTTCAAGTTTGACAGAATATTCTCTATGATGAGTTTAGCAATTTACAAACCCAACTCACAAAACTATAGTTTTTACTCACTGATTAAAATGGCTAGGCTTGGGAAACAACAATAATTATGTACCAAAATCTTTATCTTTAAATGAATTTTAATATCAGAATGCATACTAATTCTGTAATTATGTTTTATTTGGACATACAGCCTGTTTTTGTATACGAATTAATTAAATGATCAATAAATAATGTTCTTTTGAAAATTAAAAATAAATTCAAAAACAAAATGGAAGGAAAGAACATTCAGCAAGACAATGTGATATGCTAAAGAAATGAAGTTAAATTTATACTGAATGAACAGAAACAGAATTAGGTTATTCAGAAATAGATTAAATTACTGAATGTATTTGAATTCACAATAAGTTTATTTTATAAGAATTCCTGTACATGCATAACAGTGTTTGAAAAGTCTTGTGTAATAATTTCAGATCAGTGAGCTCTATATAATTATTTTTGGAGAGAAAACAATTTCAATCTTTGAAGATTGAAACTGAGCATCTGAAAATTGCAAAGTGAATCATATTTGAACTGACACGAGGGAGTAAAGTTAATAAAAGGGAGTTTAGGGTGCCTTTAAACTGTTGGGTGTTTGGTTGGGTGTTGTTCCATCCATCTTTACCCTAAATACATGAAAACAGTAATTCTAAATGACATCGGATCAGTTTTCACATTAGAAAATACTGTAAGGGCTCAATGTGT